AATCTAGACTTGAGATCTATGAACTTAAATAGCTTTCGCCTCTCAGTCTCGTAACTTTCCTCTAATTTCTCGATGGAGGCGTAATAAAGTTATTCATTATCTGTGTCCGAATGATACTTCTTCATTAAATTGCAAAATCGGGGAGCAATACCATAATGTTAGCAACAATTCAAAAAGGCCAAATGGCAGGATTGACTTACAATTGTCTTCTTTGTTTGGCTGTAATTAGTGCATTGTTTGGCAATGAAACGTCTGGGAATTTACCATGTCCACGGTCCGACTTTGGAAATAATTATGCATACAATGGACTCAGGACAAGATGTGTTCCTATAAGTCTTCCTAACAATATGACCAAGTTGCGTAAACAAGGTCAAACAACTTCTATAACTAAGATCGTTTTCGCACCGCTATTGCAACTGTGTCTGAGCATAGAATTCGTTTAACTATAATATGCTTGCATACAGATACTTTTGTGTTGTGGCATAGACTTCATGGAAGCATCTTTCCCCTTATTTTTCATAATTTTAAATGATATTTATCCAAGATTCATATTGGGCATAAGCTCCAGATAAGGCGCTTCTGTTCTTGAAGAACCTTATTCGTTTTGGTATTTTAATCCATTCTTTTTAACCTTCTAGACTTTAATATTCATCCTTTAATTGAGTCTGAGTTATCCGAAATTTGCTTTGTTATGCGCCTATAGTTGCTGCTAAATATTTACGAAGCAAAAATGTTAAGCAAGATTTGCTCATTTTCTGCAGGCTCACATCATGTTGATCCTTCAACTTTTCATTACTTCAGCTGTCTTCACCGAATATGATGTAATCCTTGCAAGGCGGTTTTACATTAAGGAAAATCGCAAAGCAATATAGACCCGTCCGAATGTAGGCAACTTCCTTCCACTAGCCAATTTATCGCTTGCATCCTGGTCACCCATTTGATTAGTAGTTTCCACTGATGCCATTTGACATATACTTAATCTGTGAATTATTTTATATCTCGTATATAAGCAGAATTTCGAAACTCTGCTTATATACGAAAAATAAGTAATATAGTCATTTGTTATAGCAAAAATACTTCTGCTTCATCGACAATCCCATCAAATAATGTGATATAGGGTAAAACCTGGCCTTCCTCGAAATTCACATCTGCCCTGTCACCCAAAGACACTTGTGGCAATGCGGCTGAGTGGTTAACATGTCAAGCTCACATGCTGTACTGTCACAATTTAACTTCAGCTGGGGCTGTTGATAATACCCATCCGAGGTCAAAACTGCGGTCCATCCTAAATGTGAACAACTTTTTGGAAAGAAAGGCTATGCGAAGTTCAATGGAAACGTCAGCTCAACTCATATTCTCGTGGGAAAACTTTACTACCAGTCTTTTATCACCTTAAACGAAATAGGCTAAATACATCTCATATAATTATTTTATATTCCGGTTTGATTATATGTGGCTGATTGAGTTATCTTTAATTTCTCGTAATTTTCAGTTCATTAGTACTATATGCGTAAATAAATATGAGTTTTAGTTTCTAAACACACTATCATTATAAATTAATCTGGCTTACCACACGAAATAAGGTTTGCGAAACGCTGCCACGCAAGGCTGCGCCAGAGAAGCCAAAAATACTGTTAATTATTTTCATGTGACGCATCCTCCTTGGATTTTAATTTTTTAGCAACGAGTAGTGCATTGTAGTAACTAAATTTATCATGCCATTTTTTTCACCTGGGGAAGTCACATTACAATTATTCTACCGATACAAGAAGCGGCCTACAAAAGCCGGAATTCCCCTAGTTTTAAAATGAAAGAATATACACCAACTTTACTTTATATTTAGATTATGTCACAATATCATTATTGACTATGAAATGTGAATGGAGTTATATGACTTATTTATGATTTATACTATCAATCTACTCAGGTGAGGTCGAAACTCTACTCCTGGATGATGCTAACTTTTTAGAGACAAGGATAATTGAAGTTCACTGACATCGTGAGGCCTACTCAGGTTATCGTATAAAAATTCAAATACCAGACCTTCATTACTTTATGTAATCTAGGGTGGCTAAAATTATTATTTATATTTGAATACTTGGGTTTTGTCTTTAAATTCGTCCTTCTATAGAGCCTGTGGTATTTTCATATAGTATTAACAAGCTTGTTCTTTACTTCCACTCTAGATTACTTTTTAAGCAATTGCACATACCGGTGTATACGTATATTTATAATTTTGTCGAAGCTATCTTCATATAGACAAGAAATTAATTATTTGCTTTATACTTATACTATTTAGGAGATAACACGAATAAAATGCTGATAAAGAGTTACGAACGAGTTTCTAGCTTTTATGCCCTACCACTTCACTTGCTTCAATTTGTCCTTACAGGTCTTGCTCCTTTTCCATTTTTGGAATCTCTTTCACGGTTACTCTTCAAGGCTACACTCGACCCTAGCAAGGATCTGTCTCTTCCTACGGTCATACAAGCCAAATACTTTCCCACTCCCTCTTCAGGCTCCAGATTTAAGTTTGACCTATTGGGCTGGCTCAGCGGTAGGATTACGGCAAACACCTGGTGTCAGAAAGCCATAATATTGGCCTTCTGCTTCCTTGGGCTTCAATTCTCCTACCTCATATGGGGGATACTTCAGGTAAATCTTCTCTGCAAATTTATATATCATGCTTATTATTTGTACACTTATTTAATTTTTTAGGTTTGTGTGATGCAGTAGT